AATGAGATCAGCTCCACTCATATGACCAAAGCATATATCGTGGCAGGGGGGGGGGGAAAACCCCTCCCAAAACAAAATGATTCTTTCCCATTCTCGTTTTTTCCCTTCTCCTGAAAGATCGCCCTGACAGTCATCGCTTCTCAAATTTCAGAAGGGTGATGAACGAAGTCTTACAAATACTACAAAGGATTTTTTTTTTTAATTAAAAATGTATTTAGAAAACATACTGAAGCATGAAGGCTGCTATCACTTCCGCATAATAGCAACAGCTCAGAGTTTGGACTTAAAAACACATTAGACAAACCGAAGATGTGAGATGCCACCAACAAAGTCACCTCAGTGCAACTAGCGCAGCGCTGGATAATCAGACCTCTCCTTTTCCACAAATCCCACGCGGTTCAGAGCTGTCCACACCGATCTGGTAGCATCTGCAAATTAAGTCTGAAATATCTGCACATAAAGCACCTTACAGTTGAAGTGGTCTCACAAAAGTGAAAATACAGACAACTGAAAAGAGACAAACTTTTTAAGCACTACCCAGCATTGATTTTTGAAAGTTTGCTGGGATTACATCATCTGCTCCTTTAAGATGATCCTAGACCTTCAAAGAAGGACACTGAAATGCACTTAAGAAATCCTGAATAACCTGGGGGAATTTCTCCAATAGGAATGACAACCCTATTAAAGAAAGGCGGAAGAAACCATTAATACTTTAAACATAACACTCTTACAGTATTTATTAAATATACAGAACTTGGATCGCTATTTAAAATTTTTATTGTTCAAAATTTTTCCCTATAGAAGGATCATAATGCTATCTCAGTGCATATTAAATGAAAAGTCATACCTCTCAAGCGTCTAGCTCGGAAATCAGAGCAACGCAGCATGTAGTGGGTGTGCAAGCTGAAGAACATAATACTGTTAATGCAATTAACATAGGGAGAAAAAAAATTGCATCGCCATTACATGGACAGATCTATAGCCCAGTGAGTAGGACACTAGCATCAAATAGGTTGTTAGCAGCACGGGAATGAGAAACTTGGTTTCTGTCTGCCAAAGAATCTGTTACAGATTCAAAAAAGATTTGTCCAAGTCTCAAGTGCTCCTCCTTTGCAAGGGCAAAAACTGCACATTTAGCCACTAGTTCAGAAAGTTTCCAGAAGCATCTATCATGTTGGAAGCGGGGGGCAGAGGGAACTTTTCACATTGGAAAAGTTCCATAAAACGAGCGATCCTACCAGCCCTCAGGCACCCTCCAACATCACCATCACAGATACTTTGGTGAGGCATTTACTTATGGCTGAAATGCTGTCCACTGAAGACTCGCTTCTGCACTACGGTCTTGACACTCATTTGTTCTGTTAGCAGTATAGGTAAAAATTGACCTCTTATTTTGCATACAGGATGACACTAGTAGAGTAGCAAGTGTAGGTAACCACACCCCTCCTGCTGGTATAAATTCCCTGAACATATCACATAGGTAACTACCATGATTACTCTGACTTCAAATATTCAAGCTTTATATTTTGTTCACATCTGCCCACAGAAACATTACAAACAAAATACAGCTAAGACCTGCTATTCTGTGCCTTTTCGTACTGCTGCACTGTTAAGCAGATCTAAGCTATCCTTAGCTTTTAATCGTGCACAATAAGTTTTCTGGATTTTTTTTTTTTTTAGGTTGAATAAAAACACAGTTTAGATGCATTTTTGGTCAGGTTGATCATTGTATGTGGTACAATGAAACCTGGTTAACTGGTATTCATCAACTATCTCGTGATGGAATGATGGAAGATTTCTCTAAAAGATTCAGACAGTTGAGAGGTATGAGGACAATCTGTCTTATACATTTGAATTTATGCGTGTAATCTTACGGAACAAGAGCTACAATTATAGACATAACATTAAATCTTATTAACAAATAGTGCATGAGAACTTAAGAAGTCCGTGAAATCAGTTTGGTCAGTGACTTGCAAAAAAAGTCATACTTCAGCTGCATTGTGTTGAGGAAAAAAAAGAAAACAGAAATCACTCATTCTTAGGCAAGTTAAACACGTATCAAGTGTCAGTCTACATTTGAAAATCAGTTTTACTCTCTATATACTATATATAAAATAAATTAAAAAGGGAAAGCAGGGAATAGCTTTGTATATGCTTCAAATTAACCCAGACCAGTAGTTCCATAAATGAACTTTTTACCACCTTTGTGGTGGTAAGACACCAAAAATACAATACTTATAAATAGAGACAGTTCAAAATAGATTAAAAATATGGAATTTAAACATTATTTTTCTATTCCCCCACAACACAATTTAGTTTTGTATGTCATAGCATCAATAAGTTTACAGAAAATTTGCATGTCACATTCACACAAAAGTTGAAAACAAAGCAGGTAGAAGTTCTAATGATGTTAAAGTTTAGGGTTTTTCCCAAGTAACTCCAGCTGCTCCTCAGCCTTCTCTTTAAATGAACGTCATCAACATTCACCATGCGTAGTGAGGTATGAGCAGCAGAAGAATCTGCAGCTGGTACCTCCCCACATTGTCCCTGCTGAAATATAGTAACAATCTATGTATCTGCTAATTGACCATGGTGGTGCACAATCTCTTACCTCACTACAGCTTTTATGCATCATAATTTAAACACAATATTCAAAAAAATAAAGTTTTTTGAAGCTTAGTTTTCCTGCTAAACTTAAAAACGTTTCATCTTCTCTGAAAGCGTATTTAAACATTCTTGTTCCAGCTTTAAAGTTTTACATAAACACAAAACAGAACAAGAATAACTATTTTAAACCAAGAGAGCACCTAAAAATATACTGTAGGTAAAAGTGAAATCAACAGTCTCTCCACTTCATAAAACCTAGAAATTCATCAGCAGAACAGTAGTATACTCAGAATGAACAAGGAGAAAAGGAGTAGCTAGAATACTCTAGAGGCTTGCTATGCTACTTCTCTTTAGTGCCCATTCTCCCGTTTGTATGGATGGCCACTGAATGACAGGATGTCTGTGATAGTTCTCTGTCTTCCTTTCACCACTGCTGCCAGCTGAAGTCGTCGTTGCTGCCAAAGACCAAGAAAAATCCTAGGATCGTAGCAAAGATGACTGTATTCCCTGTGAGAACAAGTGCACACGCGCCCCAGTAAATCTGTGAACAAGGTGAATATAGTTAGATAGGTAGTGAACTAAATACAGGCAAGACAAAAGGCAACATCCTGATGTCGCACGATAGACTAAGTTGAGCAACAAATTCGTGAGGTAAGGTGGCGTTTCATTATTTGTTTTATGCCAAGAAGGCTGGGTTTACCCAAAACGACTTGACTAATTCATACAGTTGGCCAAATAGCACTGCAGTTTCTTCCAGCACTGGTCAACATGCTAGCTAGCGGGTGCAGCTGTTTTGCTGTAACATCCAGAAATAGTGAAGTAAGGCTAGGCAACAGCATCAAACAAGACTGCAGCCTACCTTTACCCTACCATATGACTTTTTAAACAGACAGCTAAGGATGCAGGTCTTTAAAATGTCAATATTCTAGTAGCAAAAAAATAAGGAGGGGAGTGTTTGTTTTCCAAGGAGAACTAACAGAATTTGCCCAAAACTCTGACAAAGGGCGTCAGGCACTCAAACCGATCATCCACACTGTTCTCGCCTAAAAAGATTTTATGAAAGTGCACTTCAGGATTCTGATCTTAATGTTCTCTGAGGAATCCCAGCAAACACGATCATCCTTTAAAGGGTTTAAGTGAAATAAAAATTAAGTCATATACTGAGAAAGAAGTAACAACAACTTGGAGGCTTAAAAAAAAAAAAACCACCAACAACAACCAAACAAAAAAAAAAACACGACGTCATTTGCAGCGATTGCCAAAATGCATTGTTTCTTCATACTTTCTTAGCCCAACTATTTCATAAATTACCTTTTAAGTATTCTGTACACTTTTACCTTTGGTTACTTGCCCGTTAAGTTTCCATACTGCTATCTTCTACCTAATTTTCTTTGCATTGCTTATATAGGATGTTAGGGTTTAGTCTTGGATCACGTAAAGCAATGGGCAAGCATCACTTTTTTGCCATGCTTCTGTTTCTGGTATTAGTCTTTCTTGTTGAAAGAATTCTCTTATTCTACTGCCACTGCAAGCATCTTAAGTATATATTTATAAAAGTTGCTTAGTGCATCAGAGCTTTACCTTCAATAAAAGCAATAAAGAACAAAGTCGTCCAGCAAAGAACAATATCAGAGATTGAAATATTACTAACCAGTTCTGCTCTGGCAAACACTATAGGTAGCCCAAATGCTGAGACAACAATGCCTGTTGTAAGAAATATTGCTAGCTCCTTGCAGGCATTACTCGTAGCATCTGTGTCATCTACTAATCTTCTTGCTATGCAGTACGGGATAGGAGACAGGATGTAAAAAAACAGAACAAACAGCGGCCAGTACTGGCTGAAAAAGAAAGGAGAAAAGTTAAAGTTAACTTAGTTTACTTCCTTCTCTTTAACATCAGTGTAAGGCTATTTTCCCCATTCGGCATCAGCATTTGGGAAAGACAGTCTCAAGCCCAGGCAAAGCAAATCCTTCGCTCTGGAATAAGCTGTCATTAATCCAACATACCATATTTGTCAACTGCTTCAGCTGACTTCAACTGCAGCAGTAGAGAACTCATTAACAGCGTATTCGCAGAGTAAGGTTTCACTAAGCAAGTCTAAACCCAGTAACATCTAGCTTAAGATGAGCTTAACTGTTATGATTAACCTGCCAGATTTACTTAAGAATTGCCTGTAAGCTCAATGCACATACACAGAACAGAGTACTACCCTGAGCAAATACTCAACAGCCGTGAGGCATAAGACCTTGATACAATTTTTTTTTTTTGGAGTGAAATCACCACTGCGTTAATTACACCATCATATTTTGCGACATTTCCTTTTATTGTTTGCAGCCAGCCAGTCTCTGATTTCTCAGATGTGCCAATGAAGATATACATTTTTAAATAAACACTTGATTGTTCTATTTTAAGGACGACTGCAAAATGATTTCCCTTCTAAGTCATTGCTTCATCAGCCCCAGTGAAAGAGCTGGCATAAGACAGTCATACAAGTAGAGAACTGTAGTCCACAGCCTCTAGCACAAAGACTAACAAAGGGTATTTTTATTTTTAAAATTAAATAAATTGATTTGGAAGATCTTCTTTAAAACTAAAATTCAGTGGCAGAGTCAAAAGCAATAAGCCTGACATGCCCCACTCCTTTAGGAAACTAGGAGGTGTGAGACAATAGACCAAAAAAAACAGATAGTCATAGCAATTGTCAAAAGTCATAACACACGAGTCATAGCAATTGTTCTAGGTGCTACTTCACCTAGTGTGTTAAACGGCCGGGGGTCCACCTTGGATAATAACCAACAGCCCAAACATCATGAACTACTCAGAGAAAATGCAAATGCTTCCCTTCCCTGACAAAACATACATGCTACCTACTTCAGCAGATAATATCTTTTATCTGCCATGGAGAGGGAAAATACTGGAAATATGTTCGACCAGTGCATTCTTTAACAGCTTGTATCCAAGCCTGCTAATTTAAACTTTTGTCGCCTTCACTGTGAAATAATTCTGAGACGGTCTTTTTACAGCTGCAAACTTTGGAAGCCACAGAAGAGGAGGGGGAGGAAAAAAACTGCCTACAAGCGTAGGATTGATCACTACTTATGAAAACCAAACTGTTCTGAAATCAGAGACGTGCAAAAAGAAACGAGGAACGCGAAGAGAGCGCACATTACTTGTATTGGGGAAGGGCACATCCAAGCATTAAGAACATTAGTCCAACTGCTCCCCCAAAGGACAGGCTAATCAAAGCTATAAAGGAAACACAAGTCAAGAACAAACGGTCAGTTTAACAAACTGCATAAAATACCCGGCATAATCTGACAAGAGGTTTTAAACTTTGCCATTGAAGAAACACGCGAGAGAGATAAGCGGCAAACCAGCGAGACTCGCCTACAAAGTGGAATTTCGACCCACCACCATCGCAAGATTTCAAAATCGAGGACACGGGCAACGTCCTCGGAAGTTTTATTTCGTCCTAAACAGAGGAGGTGCCTCGAAGGGAGGCGAGGAAGGCCGCGAGGCCACGGCAGACCCCTCCCCACCCCCGCTGCAGGGAACGCCGGGCCCCGCACGTTTTGCCAGAGCAGGGAGGCCACCTCTTCCTTCCCCTGCTCCCAGCGCCCCCCCCACACACACTCTCCCCCAGCGGGGCAGAGCGGCCCTCGCTCCCCCACGTCGGCCT